TTTGCTTTACACCTGCATTTTGTAATGTGCAGGTCACTACTGTTCCAGAACAAATAAAATTACAACCCTAATTAACTACATTTTAAGTCTGTTGCCTTTTATTATGAGGTAATTTTACAAACACAGTTCAATCCTAGCACTGGGGAAAAAATATCAAAATATATTAATTGTGAAGCTAACGCAGACCATACATCAGTCAATATTGCAGTTATTGTAACTGGCCAGTGTTACCTTCAAAGAAGAAGATTTTACTTTTGGGGGGAGAAAACATCATTAGTAAATCTTAATTGGAAACTGGAAATGGTGGCAAAGTGGATAAAATTAGATCCTGTCCTTGGGCAAAATATCACAGTGTACAGGTGATATTCAGCAGGTTCTGACCAGTTCTGGAGAACCTGTTAGTGGAAATTTTGAGTAGTTTGGAGAACCAGCAAATACCACCTCTGACTGGAGATTTTACTGTATCCTTCCCCTGCCACGCCCACCAAGCCACAACCACAGAACCGGTAGTAAAACAATTTGAATCCTACCACTGTCACAGTGCTAGTTAGTGTACAACTTTCAAAATTGTAAATGACTCCTAGAGTTCTCAAACCGTCCATGCAAAAAAATTGGAACAGATAGTGCAGTTTTATATTTCAGGGGCTGACATAGAAAAGAGGGGGTCAAGCTATTTTCCAAAGTACCTGAAGGCCAGACAAGGAATAATGGATGGAAACTGATCAAGGAAAAATTCAACCTGGAAATAAGGAAAAATTTTCTGACAGTGAGAACAATCAAGCAATGGAACAACTTGCTTTCAGAGGTTGTGAAAGCTTCATCACTGGAAGCTTTTCAAGAAGAGACTGGACTGCCATATGTCAGAAATGGTGTAGTGTCTCCTGCTTGGGTGGGGGGGTTGGACTAGAAGACCTACAAGGTCCCTTCCAACTCTATAAATCTTTGTAGTTAAGGTTAATGTAGTTTGACCAAAATATTGTCCCACAACATCCTCTAAGCTCCCATACTGATTTATAAGATCATAAACAATGTACTTTGGTGACAAAGGTTAGAACATGCGAAGTAAAAAAGAGATTTGGGGTATAAATAAAATAACCATTTATTCTAGAACATGAAAAACTTGCCACCATTGTGCTACTATATGAAGAAACTGCACATTATACTATACAGATTAGACATTCTGTTACTGATTGCAAAATTTATAGGTGGAACACTCAAGATTAAACTTTCAAGAAATTCTAACATCCCTTGCAGAGCTATCAAAAAGAATAAATTTTCAGTAAAAATTGCTCTTCAAAACTGACATAAGACATTCTTGACTGTTCAGCATACAAAACACTGATTTGCTATAAATATATACAATTTCTTAACTTTCAAGAGGCATGGGAAAACTTGTCAAAAGAAAAATTATAGACAACTAAATCAAGTGTACTTTTAGCACCACCTAGGGAAAAATTCTGTATTAAACAGTTTTTTAAAGGTAAGTCTTCTGTTAAATGTTATTCTCACTGAATAAAAATGTTTTATAATTATATATTGGAATCAAACAACTATTCTTCCAGGAACAGTGAGTCTTTATTTCCATATATCCTTGTATAGAGAATTGCTGGCACTTCAGAGACACTTTAAAGATTAACACATTGAATTAAAACTTTCATAAATGTAGAGTTCAATGAGTGTTTTTTCTACAGGAAACATTTGCTATTCTGGTACAATAGTCAGTGCAGTTTGCAGTGCAGTATTTCTATTTTTCTATCATATTCTATTAGAGTCCATCCAGAGTAGTTGAGGGAAAATATTATGTTGTTGATTGTAAATGACAATTATAATCCTTTGTCTCCCTCTGGAGGGGTTTCACACAGAACTGAAAATGTGTTTCTGTGTTTCTGAAAGTTTTGTTTTCCCTCTTCTCAAAACAAGGTATTTAATAAAGTTAATGAATGTAACAATGGAAATTTTGGTTTGGGAAGGAAAGAGATGCACCTAGATATTTACCTAGATACTTACTTATATCCAATAAAGTATTGGCTGTGTTTGCATGTCACATTAAGCCACAAACCAGCAAATGCTATGTTTTAGACTAGTATGTTGTACAACTTCAATAAACATGATTGATTTATGTTCAGGATGTCAAAGCATCCTTATGTAGGAAGTTAGCACCACCCCTCTCCTGGAAAATTGAAATAGCCTAGGAAATATTAAACAGGCAGAATATTTTCTCTAAAAAGAATAAACACTCAGAAGCAGAAACTCACCTCAGAAGCAGAAACTCACCCCCACCTTTGTTAATGGGTGGGCCATTAAGGCCTGGGCCAGAATACTTTGCATAACAAAAATCACCAGGTAGGGCTGTGGCAATTGCCAAAAGCCCTTTTAAGGGCATGGTCATCCAGCAAGGCTCAACCAAGCCTGGAACTCAGGACAGCCTACAAGTTGCCCCTGCATGGTCCCATGAGGGGTCTGAAAACCAATTAGAATACAAGCTCCAATTCAAATCCCAATAGAGGGTATAAAACCCAGGCACTCTCCAGCACCTCAGCCCTTTTTTCTTGATCTCTTCCTTCACATTGAAGCATGTGAGCATCCTTCCTTTTCACTCTGGAGCTCCATGCCATGTGGTCCTGATATCAAACCTTCCCAAGAGCCTCCATGTTTCCAGTGTCCTTTTCCCCACTTGGAACTGAACCCAGAAGGATATTTCTTCCAACACTTAAAACAGGTTAATTAAATATATTAGTTTTAACCATGGCAAAGTATGTAATACAAGTACAACCACTTGTTTTCAATAGATAAAGGATTTTAGAAGCCTGTACAAAGCCACTCCACCATACAGTTATTCCAAAATGAAAGGGTTGTAACTGATTAATATACAATGGAAACAAAACGTCTGAAGAAAGGAAACCAGAATGGAGCAGCATGTTAAGAAAACACAAACAGAAAATTTATGATAGCAACATTACCCCTGAAGACAATATGAAGCTTATGTGAGATTGATATTCCCTACTGGTAACCTCTAACTCACAACCATAATTTTTTTACATTTGTTGGATAATATAACTGCCACACCCACTTAATGGGAGAAACTGCAGATGTAAAATCAGGAATTGCCCTAATTGTGAAGGATCTTCACCCTCCCATTCTCCTCAGTGTTCCAGAACTTTTAGAAATTGCTGCTCCCCACCACCATCCCCCTTGGGAGGGAACCATTTTTATGAGCTTTATTTCTTAAGAATACAAAAAGACTAATCAGACCTCTAATTAGATGCACCAAGTCCACATAGGATATAATGGAGGGCTAACTGATGTCAAACTCAACTAATGTTCCTTCCTGAAATTCTTTTATTAGAAACTTTTATTAGACTCTTGAAAGAGTGCAGAGAACAGCAACAAAGATATTAGGGGAATGGAGGTTAAAACATATTAAGAACGGTTGCTGGAATTGGATATGTCTACTTAGTTTGATGAAAAGAAAGACCAGGAGTGACATGATAGCAGTGTTCCAATATCTCAGGGGCTGCCACAAAGAAACATTCTATTCTCCAAAGCACCTGAGGGTATGACAAGAAGCAATGGATGGAAACTACTCAAGGAGAGAAGCAACTTAGAACTAAGGAGATATTTCCTGACAATTAGAACAATCAATCAGTGGAACAACTTGCCTCCAGAAGTTGTGAATGCTCCAACACTGGAAGTTTTTAAGAAGAGATTGGATAACCATTTGTCTGGAGTGGTGTAGGGTTTCCTGCCTAACCAGGGGGTTGGACTGGAAGACCTCCAAGATCCCTTCAAACTCTATTATTCCATTGTATTATAAACTGATCACCAAGCATACTCATAGCCTTATGAATCATTGCATGCAGTCCATTGTCCTTTTCCATCTCTGCACTCTGCTGCCTTTAATAGCAACATTCCCAGGCAGGATTACTGGCAATATGAAAGTGTTGAATTGCATCCAAGCTGTTTAGATGATTGGCAGAGAATTACTAAGACAGTGCAGCAGATAAAATTATGATGTATACACAGCCCTACCCAATCTTATCAATCCCTTATCAGCTTCCTCCATGTTCACCTATTTAGATAGGAGCAAGGTGTCTATTTCTCTAAATTTCCTTTATCTTGCATTTATATATATTGCAACAACCCGTAATATGCTTGTTATGCCTGCATGGCCCCATGGGAGTCTGACAACCAATCAGAATAGAAGCTCCAATTCAAATCCCAACGAAGTTTATAAAACCCAGGCACTCTCAGCATATCAGCCCTTCTTGATCTTTTCCTTCACCTTGGAGCATGTGGTCATCCTTCTTTGGAGCTCCAAGCCATGTAGTCTTGTCCACCATTAAACCATCTTTCCAAATAGCCTCCATGTTTCCAGTGTCTTTTTCCACACTTGGAACTGAACCCAGAAGGATAATTCTTCCAACACCTGAAAGCCAATCTTTTTGATGTAGCTTTGAATATATGGCAGTAGAGCAATGAAAAAGAGAAAAAGGAAGTACATTGGGGTGCTGACTTACATTCCCACCCCCTCATGTATATATCCCCACTCGTACTATCTACATACACAATTTATGAATGAGTGATTGCTTAGTTGAATGAATACAAGTTAGTTCCATGGCCATATATTCAGTGACCCACGGAGCAGCACAATAATCGAAAGAATGACGTTTTTTCTCCTCGATCGAGGGTGTACACTATTGCCGTTTTAACTGCTCTTCATTGCGGCAAAATAAAGATTGTTTTTACTGGGAGGGTGTATTAAAAGAACCTAGCATGTATCATCATGGGACCGAACTATTCCAGATTTACGCGGAGAAATAACCATTCAACTAGAAGGAAGCTTTACACTTGTCCCGTCGCCCGCCCCCCGCCTTCCCCCCTCAGCCCCGCCACGCCACCTGGTGGACTCAGAGAAAGAGTAACCTACATAACGTGCGCAGGCGCAAGCCACGCAGAAGCGTGGTAGAGCTAGGTTTGGAGGCCGGGCGTGAGAAGTGGTCCTCCTTTAAGACCTCGTTGCCACGGCAACCCTTGCTGCCGGAAGAATTCCTCAAGGATTCCGCCCATCTCCTCGAGTATCTCTGTAGTTCGGGCTCCCAAGAGCCGCTCCTTTCCTGCCGAAGATGGCGGACGACGGGATAACGGACGGGAAACGGCAGGACGAGCCGGAGGAAGCAGGAGAAACAGGCGGGCCGAGTGGCGCTGGGCGGCAGAAAGGATCCTGTTCAAGCGGACGGCCTCCCACCGTTCGGGATCTGCAGGTAGAGGACTGGGGAAGAGGGGAGAGATGGTGAAGGTCGGAACCCTATAAGCAGAGGCTTGGCCGTATCGTCTCCCCTTCCCCGTGACAGCTGCTCCGCTTTAGAAAGTGAAGAAGCAGCGATATCCTAATCAAGGGAAAGTGGAGTAATCCTTTAGGGGAGAGAATAAATTGAGAGCTACCTCTTTGAGTAGATGTCTTTGGGTTTATTTAATGGATCTGGGGACCATTGTGTCTTCCAATAGATTTTCCTACTTTTTGCCAGAAGATTTTACTTTGAAAGAGTAAGAAGGATTCCTCATCTGAGCAGCAATAGTAATAGCACCAGCCTAATACACGTACACACTGTACAATATGGGGCTTTATTTCTCCCACATACTTAAAATCTTCCATATACATTTTGCAGAAGGGAGATGTGCCAAAATATTAGAGAAATGTATGTATGTGTTTTAATGTTGGTGAAATTGAATTCCATAATTTTAAATCGTAGCATCAATGTAATCAGTTTTCTCTTCTTATATTAGCTATAGCATACACCCTATGTTGAGCTTAGGATAATCTTAGCTATAGTACCAAGTTTTACTCACTCCAGACATTGACACTTTTGATTTTGTCCAAATCACATTTTTCTAAGTCAATTCCCAGCAGCTCAAACGATCATTGTGAATGTTGAAGAACCAGAGAACTTGTAGTTCAGCAAAGTTCTAGAAAGTCAACAGCTACCTACTGTGAGGTTGTCCTATTCATGCTTTTAATCGTACTTTTTCATGTTTGACTAGTAGTAAAGCAATATGTAACAACATCCATATTAAGAAGTATTCATTTGGCAAATACTGCTCTTCAATCATGAGATTTTAATAAAAAAATAACTGTCAGTGCTTGACTATTTATCTATACTGTTCCTTGCCCCCAGCCCTGCATTTGAAAATAGCTCATATTACTTCATTTCTTGGATCAATAGACACTTATTAATCCATATATTCTGTGCAGCTGGCACTGGCTGGATTATATGAAGATGAAATTAAAAGACAATCACCTCATCCAGGCAAACCAGCAACTAGAGTAGCCAGTCATCCCCGATTACCAGTGCAAAGGTACAACAAATGTTCTTTATAGCTGTTGGGAGATAGAATAGTTTGAAATGATAGTGATAGTTCGTATAAACATATATATGTAAGAAATATTAATATTGAGCAAGCATTTAAATGAATAATATTTCTTGATATTGAAGTATATTTAATATTGTGGATATAAATTGTGCTTCTTTATATGAGAATAAATCCTATTAAACACGGGACAACTTATTTTTAAGTGAACATCAATTGTGTTTCATTTAGGAAATCATTTGACTGCCATAAAACTTTCACTTTAACTCTGCTGAAATAAATCGACTACTATGATTATACTATCATAGTAGTATATAATTTATATTTTAATTTAAATTTAATTTACTAACTAATTTATAATTTTAGACAGCAGTTAGAAAAGTGCAAGGGTTGAGAGGAGTTTTGTAATACAGTGGAATAAGAGGTTGATGGTACCATTAAACAAATAACATTATGAATAAATTTTCTTGTTTCTTCTAGAAATTTGAGAAAACCAGAAAGAAGTATGAGTGATGACATGGATAACCAAAGGTACTATAAAATTTGATCTATTATGTTTATTTATTTTCATTTATTTATATCTCACCTGTATTATTTTTATAAAGAGGTGGTGAACATATCTAATACTCTTTCCTCCTCCTATTCTTTCCACAACAATAACCCTGTGAGGTGGGTTGGGGTGAGAAAGAATAACTAACCCAAAGCTGGCTTTATGCCTAAACTGGATTAGAAGTCACAATATCTGGGTTTCTAGCCTCATGCCATAATCATTACACCAAACTGGCTCTGTAATAGTAATTATGTGGTTTATTTCTCTTCATTTCTTAACATTGCCTTAATATGTTCTATGAGAATGGAATGCATTTTTTTATTTTTAGGGCTTCAAATTTGAAAGCAAATGGGATACTTTCAGAGAGGACAGTGATATTCCTCTTGTCTGGAATATCTTAAAGTCCTTCCAGGTAGTCTGTGAGAATAGGTGGCATAGTAGTTAGAATGCAGTATTGCAGGCTAACTTGCTGCTCACTTCCAGGAGTTCAATTCTGAGCAGCTCAAGGGTGACTCAGCCTTCCATCCTTCCAAGGCTGGTAAAATGAGGACCCAGATTGTTGGGGGCAATATGCTGACTCTGTAAACTGTTTAGAGAAGGTTGTAAAGCATTATGAAGTGGTATATAAGTCTAAGTGCTATTGCTGTTGCTATAGCAATTTTCCCAGATTGTGCAACTGTGCTCTACAACTACCATATGATACATGAAAAAGTTGTGCTTGGTTTAAAGAGTTGCAGATGTTATGTGTGCATCCCAGCCAACTTTGAAGAATTTTTTTTTGCCTTAGAATCAAAAGCATTACATAGCTCTATAGCTTTCTTTGCTAGTGAGAAATACGATAGGATTGTGGAATCTTCATTCTTTCACTGTATATCTTTAATATAAAATTTATATCTCAACTAGGATAAATACATCTCAGTGGGTTCTTTTTCCAGTTAAAATAATGTATATGAAATATAGTCATAGCCCTGAATTTAAAAAAAATGTATTCAGCCTTAGCCTATCTTCTCCTAATTCTCGAAGCTTTGGGAGCCTAGCAGGAATGCTGTAGAATGAGACAGTGAGAAACTGCTGTGGGCAAGGCTTCTTTTTGCTGATCTTGTAGCTATTATATTATGGAGAATGAGAGAACTAGGAGCTCATAGAAGTAGAGTATTTTTAGGATTTTTGATTGCAAAATCCCTTGATTTTAAGTATTTTAACTACTTCAATATCTTAAACCAGTTTTGTTGGAAAGCTGACTTTCTATTTAAAAGTTTTGACTAATAGTATTGTTCTTTTTTTTTAAAAAAAAGATTTTACTCAGGTGATACAGAATACAGAATTGTTGAGTCATCTGACAATATGTCCTCCAGTAAAATAGTTGATGAACTTTTCAAAGAAGCAAGAGAACATGGGGCAGTTCCTTTAGATGAAGTATCAAGAGCTTCAGGAGACGGCCACAAGGCTAAAGTGAGTATATATAGTTTTCTAGAACATTTATTTTAATGCAAAAATGATCGTGTTGAGATTTGATTCATCTTAAATTGTACTTGAAAAGCTAGGAATTTTGGTAAATATTTCTAAGGACAAGAATGGTGGTAAAGTTACTGAAGAAATTATCTCTGCTTTTAATGTTTCTCTAAACATTAAAAGGAATAAATAACGGCATATATATTAGTTAATAATAATGAAGAACTCATTCATAAATTGTATAGAAGTTGATATTAAAGTAAGTAGTTTAACTATAATACAGATCTCTATTTTAAATATTTTATCAGTCATTTTCTGGAGGTGGATACAGATTGGGAGACTCTGCTCGGAAGCATTCTGAATATATACATGGAGAAAATCAGTATGGGCAAGATGTAAGTAAAAGTATGGTAAATAAAATTCTCTATTAAAGGAGAATCAATATGATTCTTCCAAAATAGACTTTACTTTAAGTTGCACATACATGCAAAAACAAAAACTCTGTTTCTAATTTTGTTAAATGTATTTGTGCTTCTGTGTTCTGTATTAGAGAAGTGAAGACTTAAAGATGAATATGTGATACTCATAAAAAGAAAGCATAGAAAAATGTATTCTTCTAAATAAGTGTACCTGACTACATGTTTTAGTTAGAATCTTGGTTCTAGGTTGATACTTAAGATGTTTATTCTCTCCATCTCTCTGTGCCTGATCAAAAAGATCAGAAGATCAAGTTTCCTTTGTTTGCCATGGGACAGGTAGTTCCTTTTCTGGATGCCTTTGGCTGAATTGAGAATATGGTTTTCTGAATGAATAGTGCTAGGAAAGTGGTGTTTTAACACTGATAATATTTTATTTTATATTCCATAAAATAAAATGTAGTGTGAAGACTCATTGTCTTGAATTTAGATAAATTAGGTAGATAACCTTTTAAAATATTGAATAGCTTATTTATATTTTACTGATTTGATTTCCTACAACAAGGAAGAAATACTTTATGGTTGTACTTACATTTCGTATGCCTGAAGAATCGCTATGGCAATACAGAGGCCTGCTGTGCTGTATTAGCAAGTTCTGCTCTAGGCTCTTCAGCACTAATTAATGGTCCCTAAATATAGCATGAATTCATATATAAATGTTATAGTGCACTAAGGTTGGATTCAGTCTCCCACCTGTCCAGGTAGACCTAGTTAAGTTAAATGCCAGGACTAGCAGAAGGGAGTGGCATGATTCATCGTTGAGGACAGAGGGACAGGAGTCCCCTGTAGTCTTCCTACATTAAAAGAATCTCTTGTGCAGAACAAAGTAGAAGCTATTGTTCCTAATATTGTAGGACGGACAGTAGTTTGTCAAACTTGTACTTTTTCCAATTGGATAAGACGTACGCTAAAAATCTATCCAGAGCTATTTAGTTAGGAAATAGATGATGCATTAAAAAGCAGAAGGGTGGCTAACATCGTAAGGGAGCACATTTTATTATAAATATGTGCTCTAGTTTGGCGAGCTGCAACTTCTGCATTTCTGTATACTGCAACTTCTGCATTTCCAGCTATTTGTTTCCCAATATTTAGAAAGATTCTGAAATGAAACTATTGTATAATTTTAAAGGATTCAGATATCATTTTAAATTAAGTGCTATAATACTGAAAAACAGGCCAATATGTATTGGTAAAAACAATCTATGTCTTCAAAAATCATATTTTATAAATCATTATTATGATTTATCAATAGGTTGAGATCTTGCTTAAATTGTGGAGGAATGGCTTCAGCTTAGATGATGGAGAGCTGAGATCCTACACAGATCCAGTGAATGCTCAGTTTCTTGAATCTGTTAAAAGAGGGTAGGTTTATAATCTTAGTGAGTACAATGATACATTGGTATACATTTTCATTGCCTTGATATTTTTGTAGATTTTCTATTCATTGAGAAGGAGATCATGCTTTTTATTCTTCAGGATAGAAAAAAATGCTAGATTTGCCAATGAAACTGAGATTCAGTACATGCTCTGTCACAAGAAAGTCAGATGAAACTCTGAGAGTAAAATGTAAAGAATTACTTTTGCTGAATCAAAAGTATTTCCCCCCAAAACAATCCAAATGTGTTAAATGATGTTGGGAGGACAATGTCAAAAACTACCATAAAGTCCCATTGAAATTAAATTAATTTATAGTCATTGTCTATTTTTGAACATTGAAGGGGTACATATAGTGTTCCTGATTCTATTTTCCCCACAACTACCCTGTGTGATCAATTGGACTGAGAGAAAGTGACAGCCTCAAGTCCTCTATCCTGTTCTCATGCTTAAGAGTGAACTATAACTTACAGTTTCTCTGTTTCCAGTTCAGCATCTTAAGCACTACATCAAGATATTTTTGCCGCATGCTTTAGGATAACTGGAAAAATATTTAAGAGAGCTTCGAGATACAGCAAGAATTTGCCCTTTGCAAAAAGAAGCTTGACTAAGTAAAAAACAAAAAGCTAAGATAAACGCAATAGATGTCAAAACAGCTTGATTTGAAACATGTCTTTTATAAAAACCTTCTGCTTACCTACCTAAAAAAATTAAATACAAAAGTAGCACTACAATCTTAATTAATTGATTATCTCTATTCTTAAGAGAATCAAACAAATTTTTTACAGAGTTTCTGCGGGGAAAGGGATTTCATTTCTGGAGCACCAATCCAGTAATGTCAAGTGAGCTGTTATAATTAATATGAAGGTTCAAAGAGGTGGATAAACATAAATATGTAAGAAAGAAAAAGTTATTTGCAAGCAATTAGTACTTCTTTGATTACCAAAGCAAATAAACAGATGATAATTACTAAAGAATTATGTTTCCTATATTTGACCTGTGCAATTCATGTTTGTTTGATTTACGAAAACAGTGATTTTGTACTTTGTATTTTGTAATAAATACTCTTGATAGAGTACTTATTACAAATATTTCAAAAATATGTTTTTTGTTTCAAAGAGCAGTTAGAGCTAGAATAGCACATTAAACTCCAGTCTATGTTCAGCATTGCATTTAATGACAGGCAAAGGTGATGGTAGTAAAAGAAGAAAGAGGAGAGACATTTGATGCCATTGAAGCCGTTGCTGGATATTAAGGATGTTGGTAGTAGTAGTGGTGGAAACATGAACAATTGGAGCTCCAGAACAATTGGCAAGAAGCACCCTTGTGGAAAGTAGACTCCTAGAATATTGTGATAGTAATTAAAGTCAGTATGGAAGCCATAGATGACACTGGAAATGGAGGTGACTAACTCGATAGGGAGACCAATTGCTTGGCCGCAGCAGCAGAGCTGCTAATCAGCTGTTGAATTGTATTATGTGCTTGTCTGGAGAGGCTGCTAGGCAATGGGATGTTGGATGCTGGTGATGGTAAGTGCTTTCTCAGTGGTTAGAGTTTATGTAACAGCAGCAGTGGCATCTGCACATTAGTGGTGGTACCAACCTGGGTACAATTGGACCAACGTGTTGAAGGACCAAGGTAACCCTTGGTGTGTGGGAATGGGCTGAAGGCCAAGTTGAGTGCTAGTCTGTTTCCTATGGTTTGTGCAGAATCCACTACACTGGGCAACCATAATCTCTCTTCATGTATTATCAGGACCTCAAAGAAGTAGATTATCAGATGTCTGCTCTAATTGTTCAGAGTGCCTCATAAGTACTCTTTTAACATCTGAATGAGACCATTGAGTGAGGATAGTACAAGTCATCCATAAGCATGCTGAAGATAATCAGTTATATATCTCAATCCATCATGGATGCTGATATTTTATCTCGGTGCCTGGATGCTGTGGGCTTCTGGACCAGGAAGAACAGGCTTAGAATCAACTATTGTAATAACAATGGCTGTAGATTTTGGGTTCATCTGCCCATGGCAAATCTTGGAATCTTGCTAGATTCATTGCTTATGCTCAAAGAACAGATAGCAGTTATGCCTTTGAGGGCCTTTTCACAAACCCATCTTGTGTATTAATTATGCCATTTTCTGGATCAGAAAACCATACTTATGCTGACACAGCCTTGGCACATTTCACTGGATCACTGCAATATGTTTTACTTAGAGCTGCTCTTGAAGACCACTTGAAAGCAACAGGGGTCTAACATGCAGTAGTGAGAGTACTTATAGGTATACATTAATATACATGTAACCCTGCACTAGTTGCCCAGTAAGCTTAAAGATGCTGTTTGTGAGCGATAAAGCTTTTCATGGCACAGAAACTGGCTATTTGCAGGATTGCCTGTCTCTAATTATGCTTCCTATCCAGTAAGTCTGACAGCGCTGGCATCCTCTCTGTATTGTCACTCAAGCAGTGTCATTTGGCAGAACCAAGAGCATTTCCTTCATGATCTGAATACTGCTGACCCTGTCTGCCTTTCAAAAGACTAAAGATCTTGATCTTCCTCCAGACATTAATTGTGTATACCATTATGAGTCACAAGCCAAGTGGGCAGCCATATAAATTAATAAATAAGAAACAGTTTGCTCTATTCTACAGAATATATATTCAGTGATCATACTGCAGTATTATAAAGAATAGTCCTTTATTTCAGAAATCTGTCCTTTAGACTTATTTATTTGTCAAAAATTCAACTTTCATCCTTTATTTTGGTCATTTGATTTTTACTGTACAAATGATACCCATTAATGCACAGCCTTTAGCATTTATGTGAAAAATATGGAAATGGGATCGTCTTTTATATATATATATATAGATAGATAGAGAGAGAGAGAGAGAGAGAGAGAGAGAGAGAGAGTTTGATTTTATATAATTTTATTAGAATACATGTTTTATAAAGTTTTTCTTGGTTATTCTTTAACAGCCTCTTTCAGATTTGCCTGTTTGTCAGGTTCGTCCTTTATTTTTTGCAAAAAAATATGATCACCTTAAATACATGCAAGGCTATAGAGAACTGTCTATCTGTTGAGTAGCATTTGGTGATATAATATTAAAGACGCGGTTGGGAAAAAGCCAAATCACTTTTAATATTTTACTGTTCGGCTTAGTTTATAGATTTCCTCGTAAAATAAACTATTGTTGTTCTTTTTTCTGCTGTTAAGAGAGATTCCTGCTGAACTTCAACGACTAGTGCATGGAGGTCAAGTTAATTTAGATATGGAAGATCATCAAGAGCAGGAATATATAAGACCGAGACTGAAGTTCAAAGCTTTCAGTGGAGAAGGTCAGAAACTTGGAAGGTTGGTTTCTTAAAAAAAAAAAATGACTTCATTTAAAAAGAAATCATACCAAACTGTTATTAATTACAATTGAAAGTAGGGGAACATGAGACAAACATAATGCCAATTAAAACCAGAATCCAAGAACACTGGCTGGCAGCCAAACACCACAATCCCAAATCCTTAATCTCTACCTACACCAACACCAAACAGCACCAGTTCAATTGGAGCAACACAAAAATCATCAGCCATACTATCACCTACCATGCTTGTAGTTCATCAAAGCCTGGCACCATAAGCAATTTCACCAACAGGCACACTGACCTACAACCAGCCTATGAATCCCTCAGAAAAAAAATCAACCACACAGCCAACCAGAAACAGCACCGACCCTCAACCAAGGTATGCAACCCAGCCTTCTTACAATCTTTATGAACTGTTGCCTTCTGGCAGAAGATACAGAACAATTAAAAATCGTACCACACGTTTTCTGAATAGTTTTTATCCCAGAGCTATAATTGCACTTAACAATGAATTTAAGGACCACCATCAGTGAGCTGTTGGACAGTATTACTTGATATGTTGTGTGGATGCTTGTGTGTTTTTAGGAGGCGGGGAATTTTGGCAGGTGGAGAGGTGTTTGGGGATTGTCATGTGTGTGCGCATGTTGAGTCTGGTGTCTGGGTGTTATGTGAATTTTGTTGTATGTATACTGTGCATATACATACAATGACAATAAAGAATTCAATTCAATTCAATCCTCCCACCAGCATTTTATTTCCCAATGACGCTGACCTGATGTAATCTCCTTATCACAAGACCCATCACAAGACTCATTGATGACTCACAGAACCCTTGACACACCCACACCCTGAAGTCCTTATAAACAGAAAAACACTGATATCCCCTAAACTCTACTGAAGATATTACTTAGCCTGGTAATGAAACATTTGTAAATCCACCCACAAGCTCAGAGAATAAACCTTCACTCTCATCCTACACCCAAGTTACAGATATTTGCCACTATTGCAAAGGAGTTTAGAGTATTGTGGTCTGGGATTTCTAGGAGTTGCAGTCCTGATACATTTAAAGGTACTGTATTGGGGAAGAATGTTGCTTTTTGCATTTTTTTCCCTCATGCCTTCAAATGAGTCTTCACACCCAGTGTTTGCCTGGACAATTCACTGCAGTTTTCTTGGCAAGATTTATTTGGAAGTGGTTTGCCATTGTGTGTTACATAAGGCTGGGAGATAGTAAATGGTCCAAGCTGACTTCGTGCTAAGGCAGTCTTCCAGTTTCTAGGCTCAATGTTAATGTCTACTGAAATTATTAAATATGGAACAAATAATATCGAGAACTTATCTCAAAATTAAAATAAAAATAGCAGCTAAGTATAGTTCCTTAAATTGTTAGTGCCATGAAATGATCAAATTTTTTACATATATTTTATTAGAATTTCAAGACACGTCAAACCAATTAGTTGAGTGTTTATAAACAAACAGATGAGAACTAAATATTCAATCAAGGCAATTCTACTCAAGGGTTTTTCCCAGAAGAGTAAATCTGCAAAGACTGTGTTTGCAATCTGCAAAATATTTTTATTCCTGCAAAAGTCATGTTCTTTAAATTAAGTATGCAAGAGTACAAATTTTTATTCATAATATTTCAATAGTTTACTACAAGGAATAAGCAACGTAGTGCCCTCCAAATTTTTTTGATTTCAAAATTATCAGAAAAAAAATGATTGTGGTAATTCGTAAAAAGCTTTAATGCAAAACAACTGATGAGTATCAGATTACCTATGTCTGGACTATATAATTAGCTTTGTTAAAATATATGTGATATTTAAATTGAAGGAAATTACTTAAAATGTATTTTTACACATAATTACAGCAAAAGTTTTTATTTGCAACTAAGAGCCATTGCTTAACCTCTTCCAGATAAATGTTCAATTACTCTTTTAGCTGCCTTTCAGTTATTACATATATCTATTTATTCTTTTCAAGCCAGCAGAATGGCTTTGAAAGGGGACATAGGGCTTTGTCTGTCTGAAACTAAGCAGAAAGACACAAAGTTTAATATCGGGAAAGGTCAGCTAAAGAAAAATTAACTTTGAAAATAAGATGTTTGGAATGCTGCTGGCTGTTTCATTCTTGAACACTATGCAGGTAGCCGTCGTCTTACAGTCATAATGGAGCCTGCCAGATATGGTCATAAGTTGTGATGAACATAAAGTAGGTCATCACATGACCTTAAGACCTTTTATCTTCAGTGATCCTTAAGTGAACTCCACAGTTGTTTAGAAAACCCATTGTGCACTATAGAGCATTTTTATCAGAATCTGGAAGTAAACACCATATTCAGTAAAAACTTCATATATCACTCTCATGTGCCCAGGGACACTGTAGACAGGCAATTAAATTCCAACAACTTGGTCATGTGACTGAGGGTGCCATCAAAACTTTAGAACCAAGTTGTATGCACCTTTGGGAGTGTCTGTCATAACTTTGGGAATGTGTCATAACTTTGAATGTTTGTTGCAGTAAGTGACCAGTCGTAAAGTGAGGACTATATGCTTCTGATCACATGACCAAGATCAAACATGCTAATAAAAGTTTGGAAAGAATTCCAGAATCGTGTCCTATATCTTTTCGCTACCTTGTTTTATTTTCTTTCAGCCTTACTCCTGAGATTGTTAGCACACCTTCATCTCCAGAAGAAGAAAACAAACCTTTTCTTGATGCCACTGTTCCAATAGATGCCACTGTACCAACAACGAAGATCCAGATTCGTCTAGCTGATGGCAGTCGCTTAATACAAAGATTTAATCAAACACATAGGTAAGTAAGATAAGTTTCCTGCATTGTAAGATCTTGGAACTGAACAGACAGTCTCCAAAATTCCTTCCAATCTTCCGTTGTTAGTATGGTAGCATGCTGATCCAATAACTAAATTGTAAATCTTATTCATGCCAACAGGATTACGGATATACGAAATTTTATTGTCCAATCTCGTCCTTTGTTTGCCACAACTGACTTTGTTCTTCTGACTACATTTCCACATAAAGAACTTACAGATGAAAGCCTGACATTACAAGAATCAGATATATTGAATACCGTGATATTACAACAGCTGAAATAAATTTAAAGCCTATCTGTGCAAGATAGGTTCTGGGAATACATAATGTTGCATGTTGATTTGCAAGGTAGCTTCAAATAAATGAAGAAAAGACCAAAAGAATTCCCTTGTTTTCCAGTTAAATATAGCAACTGACTTTTAAACCTGTTCAGTCTTCCAGTAACAATTTATTCAAATTGCAGGTCAAAAAGATTTGTTAAACAAATGTTGAATTTGTATTCTTCCTAGTTCAGCTTTTGTGAATTCAAGTACTTTTATGGAAGTGGGGGAACAGGGAAAGAAAAAAAAGACAGAACATGCATACGAATGTACATTTGATACTTATAGGAATACAGTGAGGGGGATTGTGTGTGTATAGCATGGGATTCATTTTCTGTAAAACCTGAACTATAGAAGAACTTTTCACTGTATCAGCAATTGAGAACTTTAGTTTCTTAGTCCCATTTGTCACTTAGAAATATTTTGTTCATAGAATGATGTCTTTCACTTAACTAACATGATTTTAACACAATCTCTGTGTTGTGCCACGAGGTAGTTTGCTCTGTCATTCCCTTTTAATATCAGTTATTATTAACTTTTAAGTGCCAGGTTGCAAAACAGGTGCAAAGTATTTTTTACTTTTATTCTGTAAACTGGTTTCCTGTTACCCAATGTGAACTCTAACTTTTATGACTAAAGAGATAAATATAATAAAATAATATGTATGATTTTTAAAGTCTGGCTTAAGAGGGAAATAGTGTGCTGTGTCCTATTAAATAGGTAATTGAGAACCAATTAATAGTCACTTTGCAATATCACTTTTACACCTGGATTTGAATAGCAGTGAGTATGTACCTTTCAACAACGTGTATGTTTGTTTTGAGCATGCAGGTTAGCTTCTGCCACTGGAAATTATTACAGAGGTATGATCATTGAACTTTGGATATTACAAAGCATTTCTACTCCAGGTTAATTTGTATGGCTGGTTGCTTTTCCAAGCCATTTTCCAAAAAAACAAATTTTGATTTTGCAAACTTCATAAATCCAAATTAAAGATTTTAGTGGTGTGCCAAATTTCACTTCAACTTCTGGTTATGCTCTGTTGTAAATAATAAAGAAGAAAATGTGCAACACAGGATGTACAGATCATCTTGGAATGTTATCCACAGGTATAGAATACTAGATTAAGATTCCACATGTAGCATTTTAAGTATAGCATCAATTGATATAAGGAAAAGAATAGAAAGAACCGTTTTTTAAAAAAGTGCCCACATATGTTTGCTTAACAAGGCACAGCAAAATTTATCAACACAAGATTGTATGTACAAATTCCATTGTTCCCCAAAAGCACTTGACTATAAAAATGTCTGAAGTGTAAGATGACGTGATAATACATCACACTGTATTTAACTGTATTGCACTTGTATCTTCTAATCACAATATATGAATCTTGTGAATAGATGGTTTATAGTATTATATCAATAATTATTTGACCAGCATAGTTTTGTTTAAAATAATAAAAGTGTTATCCATTGTTAAGGATTTTTAGTGGCAGCTTTTCAGAAGGCCTACTGAAATTATACAGCTTATTCCTCAGCCAAGGTATTTTTTCCTCCTTTTTAAGCTAAGTTTATGAAAATATATTCAAAGATTTAAACATCCCTATAGTATTTTTTGTCTTCAATTTTCTGCCCAGAAATCCAAGCCTATCACGAAGGGAAGTTGCCTTTAAGTATAGGATATAATGCTTGAGTGTAAATTTTAAGTAGGGTTAGCTCCAGATTTCTACAACTCGGTTTGTAATTGGTACAGACTACTTTAGTTCGCAAAGACATAAACAATTTTAAAAAGAGAAAAAATGTTGAAAGGAAAGCAAGATTTTGAAAGTATAATATGTGCATGATTGAACTAAAAATAAATTCCCATTATGGTGTAATTAATAAAGAACATGTTTAAATGACAATGCTTCTGTATATTTTTCATGTTTAATTTGAAAAACAGAATTGTTCATTCTGCCCCTGTCTTAAATCTGAGCATCAAAGAAGTTAATTCATAAGACAATTACAACTTTCAACTGATTTTGAGGACAATTCATAATAAATTGCCATTTTTAAACTGTCCAACTGACTTGCAGTAAATATGAAAAGCAAGAAGAAAATGTTAAAAAAAGGCCCATTGCTTCATATATGAAAACGTAATATATTTTCAATTTCAATATAATATTGTTATATACATCTGTTTTGCCATTGCGTTTCCCTATTAATGAAACAGCTGATACAAGGAAAATATTATGAAGTAAATTAGCTATCCTAAAATTCTCACTGGACTATAGTTATTTTATTTTGAGCTAAGCTCGAATTAATTCAGTCCATCAGTTAATCATAAATTTGAGATGATCCCATTCACAATAATGGAAAAAGATTCGTTTATATTTAGGTACTCTGCTTTATCTCATGTCTAGTTTATAACCATAATAAATAGTAAACCTATCCAACATGGAAACTGTTTCAACCTTTAGTCCATGTGAATGTATATAAGATATTTATTACACTGTTGTGTAATATGAGATAATGTAGACTACATTGGATATTACAGCTTGAGCTTTTATTGTCAGAGACAAAGTCCAATGATTCTGCTCTCTGGAAATGTGCATACCAGCCTTCTCTCATCTTCTCTATAATTGGGGCCACACCAAAATCTTGTCGAATGCAAGAAATAAAATATATACTGCAAAAAAAAGTATATATTCTAAAAAACGATTCAAGGATTAAAAGGCCACAATGAGCAAAAAGGATTCCTCTGTAGAGGAGACTACCTATTCCACTCTGCATAATCCTTTTTTTCTGCTTCTCTTCCTTTCAAAGCCAGTGAACGGAAAGAATAATTTGGCCCAAGTGCATATGGCACTGAGCAAGGATGCTGCAGTACAGGCATTCATATAGACGTGTACCTTTTTACACTGGTACAGTTTATTTTCCTTCCTTCTAGCAATCTTGAAGCACTTCTGATGCTTGATAAAAGTTAAAGTTGCTGCCCCCATTCCCCCCACCTCTATTTGCCTGCTTCCCTCTCTTTACTAGTTTTACCACTGATGGAAAGTTTTTTTAGAGGCCAGTACCCATAAAGTCCCATTGTTTACTTTTATATTGAGAGGTCTCTTATCTTTGGGCCAATTATCATCTTTCAGTGTATCTCACAAAGTTGCAGGAGATATAGTACAGTAGTGCAGAGAAAACTGAGGTGACTTGACTTGAGCTCTTCTAAGAATAGAAAAGCTTTTTATAAAAAATAATATACCTACTCAGTGGAAAGAAAATATCTCTGAACTTGAGATAATTTCTCCCTGAGAAAAAAAAGGGTAGATAAATGCAGACAAATATCCTTTACATTCAAACATATTAGCATAAAGTTGCCAATTCCATCTGAGTACAATCCAGATGGTTATTTATTTGTTAATAATTGTTGATTCATTTTTGTCAATTTGTCAACTTGGAGAAGAGGATTAGATAAACTTAAATTGTACCAAACTACTTGTGTTAGCTTCATTAGGAAGACCAGACCACGAAATAAACTCTACTAGGTATGTACAACTAAAATTGAGATTGACTGTAACCACAGAGGCTTTTATATTTATTTATATAACAAAATATGATTTTGCTGCACCTCCTTTTTATAGACCAATAAATTATTTACTTCCAAACATTATCTGGACATTCTGGATTTTAAAAAAATAGTCACGGTCACTTTGGAACTGGAATCTGCATGTCTCCATCAAGGTCATCTTCCTAACTCTCTACAGCCCAACCCTGTTTGAAACAGTCTTTACTGGAATGGCCAATTTAAATCTTACATATCATTGGATGACTTGGAAAAAATACAGTAAATTAACTGTTTTCTGAAGATACTAGACGTTGTATATGTCCATAACCTTGGCTTCCTTCAGCCAAAAAACATCTTGCATAAAACCACAAGAGATGGGATTGACACAGGAGTTCTGCAACTCAAATTGTCAACATCTTTCTCATAGGAAAAAAGCAGGTCTGACTGATTCTTACGTTCTAAACATACAAGGGGAATTGACCTACATCAATAACACTTTGTGCATTTCATGGACCAACATTTAAAATTGTCAGAAGATTATTTACAGGGCTTTTCAGTCTCTTTCTCCTATTCATTTATGATTAGAACAAGGTTTCTGTAATATACTGGATTATCCTTGTGCCAAAAGTAGGACATTCTTAAGAAACTCAGTCACAAACAGAACATTCACTTAATGTTCATATTATAGCAATGCCTTTTTATATTGATTTTTGTCCACTAACATCAATGGCTCAGTACACTGGATTATAGTTTCAGATACCAAACCATCTTTATTAGTCTGTAATATGGAACATACAAAAATTCTCCTCATCGTTCCAAAATTAAGGTTTTTTGCGGACAAGTTCTTTGAATTTGTTTTTGAATTTTAACTATTATAAACAAACTGCTAGTGGAAATCCAACATTGAAGGGGCTTCAAAATGATTCTATTGTGCAATAATTTTGCCACAGCTGCTTTTGGGGAGATTTTCAAAACCAGAGGGTCACGTTTTTTGTTGCTGTTGCAAACAATGTTACTGTTTCTTAAAATTTCCTTCAGTTTACTTAAGTAAGTGACAGTTCCTACTGCTATGCCAAGGACCTAAAACAGTTCTTTTTTCAAGGTAAGTAAAAGAAAAATCTAAAACAGGAAATAAATAATTCTGAGATCCTTTATAGTCCAATCTAATGGAGTTGCAAAAGGTGCAGGACAGGTACATTGATTAATGATAACCTTTCATTCTTAGCCTAATAGATAAAGGGGACTTAAAATATTTACACTGACTAATGTATTCTCTCTGCATTGAGAACTTCCGGACATAAGAAGACAGATATTTTTCAAATCAAATGAACATTAATAGAAGAGAATATTTGTACAGGTAGTCCTCAACTTACAATGGTTCACTTAATGACCATTCAACATTACAATGGCACTGGAAAAGGTGACATGACCATTTTTCCACAGTTACCATTTGCAGCCTCCCCATGATCATGTGATCAAAATTCAGATGCTTGTCAACTGGTTCATATTTACGACAGTTGCTGTGTCTTGGGGTTATGTGATCACTTTTTGAGATCTTCTGACAAAGTCAGAAGGAGAAGTCAGATTCCCCGTTACTAACTTAACCACTTCAGTGATTCACTTAACTGTAGCCAGAAATGTCTTTAAAATGGGGTAAAACTCACTTAACAAATATCTCACTTAACAACATAAATTTTGGGTTCAATTGTGGTCATAAGTTGAAGACTACCTCAGTGGTGGGATTCAATTTTTTTTA